ATATATATTTTTCTGGGGTTTTTTTGATTTTTTGTCACTTTGCTTTTTTGTCACTGGACTTATAATTTTAAATTTTTATATATGTTTTTATATCAATATATTTTTTATATATATTTATTATATATATCTTTATTAGCACATTAATGTTTTTTTTAACTGAGTAATGTAATTGATCATGTGGGTTTGCGCTGGTTTTCATTGTTAAAAGTTTTTGGTCTTTTGTACCTGTGCACAGCAGCATCTCACGGGGATTTGTATGGTAAAAAGGAAGTCCTGAGCGCTGAGGTTTTGTTTTTTTGCATTTTTGACGGTGGCCAAAAAGACGCCGCATTTTTTGACGGTGGCCAAAAAGACGCCGCATTTTTGACGGTGGCCAAAAAGACGCCGCATTTTTGACGGTGGCCAAAAAGACGCCGCATTTTTGACGGTGGCCAAAAAGACGCCGCATTTTTGACGGTGGCCAAAAAGACGCCGCATTTTTGACGGTGGCCAAAAAGACGCCGCATTTTTGACGGTGGCCAAAAAGACGCCGCATTTTTGACGGTGGCCAAAAAGACGCCGCATTTTTGACGGTGGCCAAAAAATGACACCGCATTTTTGACGGTGGCCAAAAAATGACACCGCATTTTTGACGGTGGCCAAAAAGACACCGCATTTTTGACGGTGGCCAAAAAGACACCGCATTTTTGACGGTGGCCAAAAAATGACACCGCATTTTTGACAGTGGCCAAAAAAATGACACCGCATTTTTGACAGTGGCCAAAAAATGACACCGCATTTTTGACAGTGGCCAAAAAAATGACACCGCATTTTTGACAGTGGCCAAAAAGACACCGCATTTTTGACAGTGGCCAAAAAATGACACCGCATTTTTGACAGTGGCCAAAAAAATGACACTGCATTTTTGACAGTGGAAAAAATAAATAAAAAAATGACACTGCATTTTTGATAGTGGCAAAAAAAAAAAAAAAGACACTGCATGTTTGACGGTGGGAAAAAAAGACACTGCATGTTTGACTGTGGCAAAAAAAAAAATCTGACACTGCATTTTTGACTGTGGCAAAAAAGTGACACTGCATTTTTGACAGTTGCGAAAATTGAGCTATTTTCAACAGTTGGGAAATGATTTAATTTTGACAGTTGGACAATGACAGTTATTTTTGACCGTTGAAAAATGACATTCTGCATTTTTGACAGTGGCAAAAAAAAAATACACTTTATTTTGACACATTGAAAAAAATGACAGTGCACTTTTGGCAAAAAAAATGACAGTGCATTTTTGACAGTGGCAAAAAAATGACAGTGCATTTTTGACAGTGGCAAAAAAATGACAGTGCATTTTTGACAGTGGCAAAAAAATGACAGTGCATTTTTGACAGTGGCAAAAATGACAGTTATTAAGTGTTCTTATAGAACACTTATTGTTATCTCACAAATATATTCTTATTATAGCCAAATTTGCCACGCTAACTCCTCCCACAGTTTTTACACTACAATGACAAGTAATATATCAAAACGTGAGGATTGTTCCCGATCGGATTGCTATTACTTTGTGGAACGTTTCGCCGAATGGTTCACGAAATATCACGGTTTTTGTGGTGAAATTTTCCCATAGGAATGAATGGAGCAACTAGAGTGGGACATGACAAAGCTACAGTGTGGAAGGAAAAATCAGGACATGATTTCTAAACTGCCATCACTCTTTCATTTTCAAGCCCACCTACACATTTCTTATATCAAAACGTTCAGCTATCCCTGCTGCTACTAGAAATGTTCACGGCTAAGCCATACTCCTGATAGTTTTCACAATATGACCATTTGTTTGCAACTCACCCCTCCCATTGACTTTCATTGAAACTTCACTCACAGCCACCTGAAATTTTAAAGGACATTTTTAAACTGCGACTGTGCCTTCATTTTTAATATTTCAGAGACATACTATACATCAATGTAGGTCTGTTTCTTGTGATTCTCACAATATAAAGCTCTTCGATGTAGCATTTATACTTTTAAAACTACAAGTGTTTGAAGATGGCAATCGCCAGTGAAGTTGCCAAGTTGGAGCAGTGTGTTTAGAAAAGGCCTTCTCACCTTCCTATGACTGAGTGAGTTGCTATAGCAACCAAAGATGACTCACCAGGCAGCTGAGTTACCAAGTTGAAATGCATTTCTACCTCTATCAGGCTTGCCATGTGCACTGCTTACATTTCATCAATCATTTGGTTAGGGTTGGATGCAAGAACACTTCACACAATTTCCCCAGAAATTGTCGATTTTCTAGTTTTTAACTGAAATCTAATGTCTGCCTGCCTAGCCACCACATTGGACCATTTCAAGGGTAGTGAGTATGTAGCTAGCCAATGAGCTATGATCAGACAGGCTGCTGGGTGGATGCTCTGCATCTAGGATGTCAGCAAGAATAGCAGCTTAGCTGGGCAGTATGAAGTTCCTCCAGGACAGTGTATAGGAGGTGAGAAGGGAGGTGGAATGTACTTTTGGTCTGCACATACTTCTGACTCCACAGAGAGAAAACCACTATCACAAACTTCCCCAGGGGTTTAGTATGAACACCTTCAATGACACAAGGTAGGTTGCATGGAAAGCCTTCTGTACCCACGGTTTCATGAGAGCTTGTATTATGCTCAATAGGCAGCAAAATAAGCTTAAGCCAGCACACACCACACTAAGAAAATATATCAAACATAAAACAAGCATCCCCTATTCCATAGCTGCTGACCCTGCCAGTGTGCAGCTGACTTCACCATGGGCTGACTGCACAAAGACCTATGACCTGAACCAGAGCTGCGAAATACAGCTAAAAAAAACACACTAGGAGGGCTTAAGAGGTGAATGTACCCTTCCACTCCAGATCTATGCAGGCTTAGCTAAAAGGAGTATAACCCCTAAAACAGTGAGTTGTGACATACAAAAGAAAAATGCTTTGTCCAGTAGTCTCCAATAATTCCACAGGAGCAGTGCTCCAAAGTGTAAAGAGCTAATCCCCCAGGATCATAGCTGGTAAGTATACATTATAACAATGTCTAGTGGAACATACAGATGAAATGAATATAAGCAGAAGCAAGTTAAACAGGTAAAGAGATCTGAATGCACGAATATCTGCGGATGCCTGCCCTAGTGCCGCAAGTAAGAGTGGACCGAGGTGTGATTGGAAGCCAGTATCAGTAATGATTGAGCCATGTAGCAGCAGCTGCTGGTTTATCAAAGAAACAAACTGTGTCTCCATCTTGAATCTGCAACTTGCTTGGATACAATAAGCTATATTTTAAGCCTTTGGCTCGCAAACATTTGCGAATGTCACTGAAGGAACCTCTCTGTTGCTGTACTTCTGGTGCGTAATCAAGAAAAAGAAATGTTGACGTTGACTGTTTCTGTTGATGTTGACTGTTTGGTTTCTGGCAAGTAACAAGTTGTGATAACTGTAATTGCGTAAACTGAGTAAGAGTGGTCGAGGCGGAGCCCCAGGGAGTGGAGAAGGGGGGGGGGGGGGACTCTGTGTGTATGCTCAACCACAAACCTGGGTGGGAGATCAGTCAGTCCAAGGAGTGTGATGAGAAAGCTTTCTGAAAATACTGCTGGTCTGTTACCTTCTGCCCTCTCTGGAAGCCCCAGGATTCTGAGATTGTTGTGACGTAGTCTATTTTCAGTGTCAGTTGCTTTCTCCTGTAGGGCTTTCACTTGGGGTTGTAGTGCATGAAGTTCAGTAGTATCAGAGTGAACGTTGTCTTTCACCTGGGAAGTCCTGTCCTCTCCTTTTTTGAGACAAGATCAGAACTTGTCCAGGTCATATCTGATGAAGCTGATGTCTGTAGAAATAGGCAATTTTGGCTGCGACAGTCTACTTGCATGCCATGATAGCTGCCAGGTTGTCTGCTCCAGAGGGGCCTTCAGATTATGTCCTCGGGCTGGGTCTGTGTGCTCTTCGACATTGTGGATAGTGACGAAAGTGAAGACCTTGAGGGTAAGATGGCTGCCGCTGGAGAAGAGTGTGGAGCACTCACTGGCGGTTTAACAGCTTTCTTCCGTGGAGACATGCGGTGAACCGCGGCTGGTGGCAGAGTCTTCAGGAGGACACACAGCAGCTCTGTAGAAGGAAGGCAGGGTAGGAGGCTCGAGCAGAATCCATAAAGGAGTGGAACTCTAGTGCCGTGCGACTGTCTTCTATCACACCCCAGCCACAGAGTTTATTTGAAAACTACAGTTGCTATCAGGAAGACTTGCTGACCTTTCATCATGGCCTCGCAGAGGGGTACCAGGTGGATAACTAACTAATTTCAAGAGCTTACACTTTAAAGCAGCCTTTCTTTACCAGGGTTCTGTGGAACCCTAGGGTTCCTCCAGAGGTGGTTAGGAGTTCCTTGAACAATGAACAGCTTCTGCCTCCCAGATATATATAACCACTTTCAACAATTTTGTTTAGCTATCAGTAATGGGTGGATTCTTCTCTGTGACCACAAATGTAAGGAGAATTCTTCTAAGTAACCACACTAATGTACGATGAACTTTTTATATAGTAATCATTAGCAGGGGCTCCCTGAACCGGGAACGTTATTTCAAGGGTTTCTACATGTTAAAAAAGCTTGAGAAAGGCTGCTCTAAAAGATAAAATACCTCAGTTTATTTTACTTACCTGTAAATTCCTTATCTTGGAGTACAGTACAGGACATCGGACACCCTCCCCTTATGTTACTCAGCATTGCTTCCTAAAAACTAAAGTCTCAGAGTGGGGCAGGGTTACAAGGGTAAGCCCAGGGTGCATGTCCAGCAAAGCTTTGCCAGTGTCCAGTCACTTGAGGGTAGATGTGTGTGTTCTGTAATGTACCAAGGTATGGAATTTACAGGTACAGTAAGTCATGTTTCCTTTCTATGCGTTGGACATTTATGGTGCCTAAAATGTATGCTTTGTTTTTGTAGTATTGTGTTGTATTTGTGATTTTTGTTATGTATATTGCTGAACACTTTTTTTTTTTTTTTGTTTACAGGCAAGAGGCCATTGAGCAGCTTATCAGCAACATGTTCGATGGCGAGCATAATGAGTCTGTGATTGTGAATGGCATCCAAGTGCTTTTGACACTACTGGAACCACGTAGACCTAGGTAGGCTACCAAGTATGGGCCTGTTCACAGAAGCTTTCAAGTGACAAGTATACACTCCTTTTCAAAGCATTTGAGAATTTTGCTAAATGTTTTTAATCATTTTGTGGTCTTTTTGGGGAATTAAAAAAAAAAAATGTTCAAAGCATTTTACAAGTATTTTGCATATTCATTGATTAAAATTGGAGCCAAAAATACTTGCTTATGTAAAGGAAACTTCTGGTATTGGGGAGATTTGCAAGAAACCTCTAAGCACACCCCCAATCAATCGCAAATAAAAACACTCTTAGTGCTCCCATTAAAGCATTTCACCAACATCTCAAACAGCTGTGAAATACTTCTAGTGTGAATAGGTGCAAAGGAACTTTTTAATGCTTTTCGCATTTTTCTATTGCTTCAAGAGGGTGTGTATGTGCATAAATGTATTTTTACTCTTATTTGCCTTCTGAAAGTCCCTTCTTTACCAAATGATTAGCGATGACCTTTATAAAAAAATCCACTTTACCACTTGCCTTCCAGCGGATTTTCCCCCCTTCCTGACCAGGCCATTTTTTGCATTACAATGCTGCGTTACTTAAACTGACAATTGCGCGGTAATGCAACACTGCACCCAAAGGAATTTTCTTTGCTTTTTTTCCCCACAAATAGAGCTTTATTTTGGTGGTATTTGATTGCCCGTGCATAATTTTTTTTTTTTTTTTGCGCTATAAAAATAGAAAAAATAGTCCACCATATACAAGAATAGTATTTTTGACTTTTTGCTATTAAACTTGTCCAATAAAAAAAATTTAAAAATCAAATTTCACCATTGATTTAGGGCAAAATGTATTCTGCTACATGTTTTTTGCTACAAAAAAAAAAGAAAATCTCAATTTGTGTAAATTGGTTTATGTGACACTTATAGCGTTTACAAATGGCAGTATATATACTGTAATTTTTTTTTTTTATACTAGTAATGCGGGCATTCTGACACTGGAGGGAACTGACTTGGTGTCACTGACATCCCCAGTGACACCGATACAGTGATCAATGCTAATAAAAAGCACTGACACTGTACTAATGGCACTGGGCAGGAAGGGGTTAACATCTGGGGCAATCAAAGGGTTAACTGTGTGCTGTGTTTTTTATTATGAGGCTGTGTGTGGGCTTTCCACTGTCCGGGACCCGGTGATTGACAGCCGAGGCCGTGAATGGCAGCACAGGTAGGGCTCATGCGCCCCTCCCCCCCACTCGGGAATGCAAAATCTTGTATATATACGTGATTTTGCGCACCCCTGTTGCCCTGCAGCAGTATGTCTGCTATAGGGCGGAAGGAAAGTGATTAAATAATATGCTGTTTTCATTCTGTCTAAAGCAGGTCATACACTGAATTTCAGATGGTTCTTGAGGAACCAGCTAAAATTTGCTCCATATGATATGTTTGATCAATTTTCTTTTAAGGAGCCTGTTGGAAAATTTTGTGCCAAACAGCGGCTGCATCCAGTCAAAATACAGTAGCAGCAGTGAGAGATTTGTCCATCTGCCAGCCAGCTTAAAGTGCAACTGAAGGCAAACCTGTCTTTTCCATTTTGGATAAGGGAGGGTTATACCCCTTGTAAGGATTTTTTTTTTTTTTTTTTTTTGCGATCTGTGGTGCAATAGGGAGGAGTTCCTTTCACTTTTCTCAAAAGTTAGGGAAGTCCTTGTTGTCATCAAGGTTACCACAATTGGTGTCCCTATTGGATGTTTTCCCCTTTATTTCTTTTCTGGTGACATTGACCAATTTAGAATTTCTTAACTCTACAGCACAGAAGACAGCCGAGTTCATATTCATGACAACTTTTCTTATGCATCTATCTTCCTGTGAATGGATACTGGCCAAAAAAAAGACAGGAATCTCCACCCAGGCATAACCCCTCCCAGCTTAGCTGTGCTATTGTGTTCTGAATTCAGGAATACGGGAAGCCTTCCCTGACATCAGAACACACTGATCATATAGCTATATAGAGCTATAGCTGTGGCACTGATTGTTTGGGGAAAAAACAGGCTGGTTGTACAGAAGTCGATCAGTAGAAAAAAAAAAAGTTGCCTTTTGGTTTCACTTTTAGGAAAGTAAGTCTGATCATCCAGTCCTCTCCACTGTACACATCCAAGGAATGCACAATTGGAAGACAGATTACCTCAGCTGTTTCTGCCTGGACAAATTAGGGAATTGGGCCCTTAATCCTGACTGCCGGGACCAAGGAGAATGGGCCCCTTTACCCTGATATCTTCAATTTCTTTATGTAAGAAATAGGATACTCCTGGTGTGGACATCTCTCCTCCAGGTTCAACAACAAGTTAACAGCTGTTTGTAGAGGGGACCAAGATGCTCTGGTAATTTCCATGACTTCTTTCGAGCTCATGTGTCTTTTCTCCAGTGCAGGTTCTGCCATAATTGCTTTGGCAAATAAAGATAAGAAACCAGTGATTCTCATTGCACCAAACTTGCCCAGAAGAACCTCTTACACAGGCATCCTCAAATTTTTAGGAGACTATCCCTGGCATCTCCCAAACAGGGTCGACCTTCTTTCTCAGGAATCTGTGACTGTCATTCCCGCTTTGTTCAAAGGTGGAAAAACCACTTCCAGAGAAAAATGTACTGTCATACCTAGAAATCCTTTGTCTTGTATGAGCACAGGCACTTCAGTCCCAAAGAAGAGATTACTTGGTTGTTGCGTATTCCAGTTGGGACTGAAACAGAATTTGGCCTTAAAGTACTCTTTAATGGACGGGTTTTAGCCTTGTCCATTTGGTTCCAAGAACCTTTGGATTTATTTTCTGTTCTATAAACCTTTTGTTCAAGGTATTTCTCAGATCAGACCACCCTTTACAGCACCTTGTGCTGCCTTAGGATCTTAATTTGGCTGCTTCTGCCGGCAGAAATCATCCTTTGATCCCATAAGGGAACTTTGTTTAGATAACCTCTTTTGCAAGGTGGCTTTTTTTAGTGGTTATTATGTGTCTCTGAACTAGCAACTTTCTCTTGAAAGGAACCATTCCTGCTCCCTTTACAAGTGTAGTCTTTTCCCTCAGGGGAATCTATTGTAGTGAAGACGTTGTCCTTCCCTCAGCACCCCAAAGAGATTGCTCATTATTGTCTGGATGTTCTTAGAGCGATCAGAGTTTATATGAAAGCCACACCTTCTATCAGGAAGATGGTCTGTTTGTCCTTTAATCAGGGCCTCCCAGAGGTGAATAAGCAAATTATTTCAAGTGCCTAAATTCTAAAGGCTAAACACCTCCAGCACTCTTGCTCACTCCACCAGGTCTGTGAGTGTTTCCTGGACATTCCAACATGATGCTTCTGTTTTCCAGGTTTGCAGACCACCACTTGGTCTTCAGTTCATTGCTCATGTTCTTCCAAGTGGACATACAAGTCTTTGTGGATACAGCTTTTGCCAGCATTGTTCTTACAGCAGCTTGCTGAATTGGATGCCAGCAATGTTTTTACAGCAGCACTCTGAATTGGGTCTGTTGTGCCCCTGGGCACAGTTCTGGCTGCCTCGTTATTGTCCACCCTTATTATTTGCTTTGGGACATCCCAGGGTCTATGCCATACATCTAGAAAGTGTCCTTTTACAATTAAGATAGGTTATTTTGACTTGCCTGTAAATTCCTTGCTTGGAGTGCAGTACATAGGACACCCTCACCTCTGTGCTTGTGTTAGGGCTCATGTACACTGCAGCTGATAAACTCACGTTTAGGAGCTGTTCAGCGGTTTTTTTCAGCAGCTCCTGAACTCTCCCTATTGATTTCCTCTGTCCATGCACACTATGTCGTTTACAGGCAGTTGAGTTTACAGTCATTTTATTGAACGCAGAAAACGTACATTCAGGAGTAGATTTTATCAGCTTTTCAAACGTCCACGGCTAACCGCATTTATAGTGTTTGCTTGAAAACTTTTTTTTAACTCTTCCATTTCCAGATGCTGTCCAGAGCCTTTTTTTCATCATGAAAAATGCATGCAAAGTGTTTTCCCGGTACTCAAATGGACCTGGTACACCATACTTTGAGGTTTTGCATTAAAGAAAATATGTTAGAAAATATGCTGCAATAATTTCTGCACAGAAATTAGCTGGAACACATCCAAACACCACATAAAATAGATGGCTAATCTCAACAAACACTGCTCTCTCTGCTTTTGCTCTCTACGTCTCTCAAAATGTCCGAAATCGTTAATTTTTCACTGTTTTTCAGTGCATTCTGGGCATTTTGGAAGGTCTCCTGAAGTTATCTTAAAAAAAAAAAACTTCTAAATGCGGTATGCAAACGCGACTAAACCAATGTTTTTTAACCTACATTTTCCAGCAGTCAGTTTTGCCATCGTTCAGAAATGTCCCATGTACATGGAGCCTTACACAGCTTTCGTTGCTTAAAATCTGAAGTCTCACGGAGTGGGGCAGGGTTAGGCGTATGCTCAGTGGGTGTGTCCAGCAATGCTTTGCCAGTTTCCAATCACTTGAAGGTATCCGCTTATAATCTAGTGTCTATGAATATCCAGCCCGTGTTCTTTACTCTATTCCAAGATATGGAATTTACAGGTAAGTCAAAATTAATTTTATTTAACTGGAAAATGTGCCTACCCCTGTACAGTCCCTTGCAAAAATATTAACCCATTGTGGGTTTTTTTTTTCTGTTTTATTGCATTGCAACAATTAAAATACATTTTGGTGCTTTGTACCATGAGATGAACACAACATGCCTACAGCTTTGAAGATGTTAAAACATTTTTGTGACACAAACAATAGTTAATAAATATTAAAAAAAACTCTTCATTGCATGTATATATGTATATGTTTACCTCCTCCCTAAACTCGCATTGGTTAGTCTGCATTGCTTATTAGAAAAAAGGTCTCTGAGTGCTGTAGGGTTATAGGGGAGACATTTCAGAGGTGTGTCCCCTCAAAGGCTTGCCAATGTCCAATTACCTGAAGGTACGAGCCTATAACCCATCGTGTATGAATGTTGCCTGTGTCCTGTAC